CTCTCTCTCTCTCTCTCTCTCTCTCTCTCTCTCTCTCTCTCTCTCTCTCTCTCTCTCTCTCTCTGCTTCTTTCTAGACAAAGGAAGAACGATCGATTCGTATGCTTTGATATGAATCATATCTGAAAATACAAATAGACCGACGTCAATTTCCGCACAAGCTCTGAAATCGCATTGAAACACGTAAAACTTTTACTTCAGACTTAATTAATTCAAAGAGTAGCAATATCCAATGAACAGAGTTCAAATCGATCTTTACAACTTTGTATCTTCTCTTTCTTTCTTTCCAGACAAAGGAAGAACGATCGATTCGTATGCTTTGATATAAATCATAACTGAAAATACAAATAAACCAATACTAATTTCTGCACAAGCTCTAATATCATATCAGAAGAATATATAAAACCTGTACTTTAGATTTATTATTAATTTTAATCATAATGATTGTCACTTGAAATTTTTTTCATATGAGACACTCAGATTTGTATCCAGAATCAGATTTTTCAATTGAATTTGATGATATATGTGATATCTATATCTGTAATCACAATTCAATCGAAAAATTCTTATCTGAATCTGTATTTCAAATCTGAGTGTCTTATTTGAGATAATCCTGGTAGAAATTTAATGGAGTTTAATTTTTCGAGCAGTTACTAAACAGTTATGTTAACTTTTGTCCAGTAACTAGTGAGCAAAACTACTTAGGATTCCAATCAAGATGTAACACTTTTCCTGCAGTTTCTGTGCACGGAAGATTCTCAAGATCTGAATCCATTTACTCAGCGAAAACAGAATAGAAAATAGACAAAAGACTATTCAACTGATTAGTAATCAAGTGTACTGCTCATAAAGTGCGCAGGTTTGCCCTAGTAGTATTTCGTTTTTGTGAATACTTTCTAATTGAAAAATTTTCATGTTAATGAAGATCAGAGCGTAGGAAATCTTTGCGTAAAGCGAGGTCTACAATGAGAATTTAAGTCATAAAACTTAAGCTTTAAACCTGAAACCTTAAGAAATTGACCAATCACTACCAGTTATTTTCCTTATATTTGACTGTGATTGATCAATTTCTTGCAGCTTCAGGCTTAAAACTCCTGGCTCCTCGCATTGTCTATCTCTTTTTAATGACGTCAGAAGCGAGAAAATGCATGCTAAAAATTCTTGCGAAATACGTTGAAATAAAAAGATAGGGTAAATTCGGATAAGATAGCCATACTTTTTTAAAATGCAAGAAAAATATATTTCTTATTGTTATTTCTTAATAGCGTTTGGCACATTACTTCACTGAAGCCTACAATACATAATACTATCAAAGTTAAAAGGAAAATTCTTTAGTGAAATTATTTATTACAAAAATATCAAAACATGAGCATTGGCCATCTTATCTAAATGTTTAAGACAAGATGGCCATAAGGAATAGATAACCCATACATATTTTATGTTCAAGATTCTGCACCTATTATTTTATAAAATAATGAAAAAAACATAATTTGACATATTCATTTTAGTATAGGATATTTAATATATATTATTTCTGAAAAATATAATATACATATAAAACAGAAACCTCTATTACAAAACTTAAATTCTAAATCCAATTTTTGATCAAAACATATTGCACATAAGATTTAATTACTGTAATATTGAAAATAATTTCTGAAATGTAACGACTTTTGTTTTATAAATGTTAAAATGATAGTGGGCCATCTTATCCAAATGAAGGACGGTTATAATAGTACTTATAAACGAATAGTGAAATTGAAAATAAAAATGCATGTTATATTACAATTTACATACTTTATGTATCTATTATGTAACGTTGATTGCGACAGCTTAACTGTAATTTATTCGACGTTACAGCAAGTTTTAGTGAATACATGAGAAATTTTACAGGTAGTCGAAAATAAAAATATAGTATAATATTCATAATTTTGCTATTTCGAAAAATGTATGCACATACACTACGATAAATATCGATTATCTTTGTAACTGATTACACAAATGCAATGTTTTGCAATTATTAGAGCCTATAGCCATCTTTCCAATATGGCCATCATATTCGAGTTTATTCTATACTCATAAAGTAATATTTGCAATCGATTCAACACATTTGTAAGATATTCCGTGCACTTCTTTTTGTTCTAACAATCAATAATTTATCGTAAATTAATGTGACATAATTCATCTTCTTAACTTATTTCTTTGCCTATTTCTATTCAGGTTAATTTACAATAAATTATTGATTGTTGGAGAAAAAGAGGGAGTACACGGAATATCTTATAAATTTGTTCAATCGATTGCAAACGTTATATATTTTTATTTCGCAAGAATTTTTAGCATGCATTTTCTCGCTTCTGACGTCATTAAAAAGAGATAGACAATGCGAGGAACCAGGAGTCTTAAAGTTTAAGTTTTATGGCTTAAGTTCTCGTTGTAAATCCCATTTAACATATATGTTCACTTTTTACACGACATTTTTCATAATCATCAAATGACACATATCCTTTTATCTATTCTTATAGTTGTGTTATTTCATTAGGTTCTGAGTCTGAATTATCATAATAGATTTCATTCATATCATTATCCACTATATACGCACTACATCGGAATAATCTGATGTTTTCATTGAAATGAAATACTACATATATTAACATATATGCTGTCTTTTGCTCCCTTTCATTTCTAACCTTGGTTGTCATTTCTGTCACAGAGCTTAATATTATCAAATGCTCTGTTTCCTCCAATTTCCTTTCTCTTACTCCGTGATTTCCTACACGTTCACTCATCATTGTTCGCGCAATTTTGAATTCTCTCTTAACAATATATTTTAATACGTGCATGTAAAACTGAATTAATATTAGCGATACTGTGTTTTGAAACAAGTCGGCCCACATATTGTACGGTAAACTGCTTCAATCAACAAGCAAAGCTTTACCAAGTTCTTGTTCAATTTCTACGCAGTATTTTTACAACTAATGAGAACGCATTAGAGAAGAGGTCTGTTCTTTTTAGCTGAACTATCTGAACTGGTGCAGTCTGGTGCGATAAGTCAGAGTGAGACAGATATATTTCCTAACTTTCTGCGGCAGTCTATATCAGTTCAGGCAGTTCAGCTAAAAAGAACAGATCCACGATCTGTCTAATGAATAGAGTTGAAGTGGACCTTTACAATTTCACGTTTCTCTGTGAACAAAGGAAGAAGGATCGATTCGCACGTTTTGATATGAATCACACCCGAAAATACAAACAGACCGACGCCAATGTTCACACAAGCGCTGAGATCGCGACGCGTCAAAAACTTCTTACGTCGAGAAACACACGAAATGTCCTGCGTACGGATATTAACGGAAATAAAAACATCAAAGGATCCGCGTATTTTTCGGCCACGGTAAACAGGTGCGATCCACACGCAAGAGACGTGAGCACGTGTGCGCAACGATTCTGCTAGCTGCGGGCTATGTTGCGTAAGGGGGCCCGTCATCATCATTGATATCACACGGGCCTCTCACGTCGGTCGTATAATAACGGTGCCGCGACGCAACGCGACGCGACGCACCATGTCCGTGTTTTAAACTTCGTCTGTCTTTTTCCGTCAGGTACTCCTATCGTAAAATGAGTCGTGCCATTGAAAACAAATCAAAGAGGATTAGACGGAGACGAGCCACGGTGAAACTGATAGTAGGGGCTGTTGAATCGATACTATATACCACACGATCTTCCTGGGTCTTCTGTTTAGCACACTGTTTGTAAATCCGCCTGATAATTCTCCACGACGACACACCAGTGCAAAATATTGCAACTTCCCTCTCAGACGCAACGTTTATTCCTCGCTGCTGTTTCATCAGCGACGTGCTCCAAAGAGAGACAACAGAGAGGACCTGACCTTGATCCATGTAGTCCCACGCTCATATATCTCGTCTCCTCGATCGTAAGCGACGAACAGAAATCTTGGAGTCTTAGGTCCGTATTAATGGTCATTACTTGAAACTCGTCTCAAGTGAGATACTCAGATTTCAATTCAGGATTGGATGAGAGTGTTCAGTTGAATCGCAATTACAGATACAAATGTCATATTTATCGTAATTCGACTGAAAACCTTGGATCTGACTCTGAATAAAAATCGGGCTCTCTCATCCGAGATAGGTTTCAAGTGACAATTATTAATACAGGCTTCAGAATTGCAGGTACAAGTAATTCTCCCGAAAAATGGGACAGATCTCCCTGAGAGTATCGGGGTACTTTCTACTTGGCTGTTTTTCTGTTTGTTTTCTAGCGTTGCTCAGAGTGCGAGCGTACATTGTGAGCCGTAGATTGATTATACGGTACTCCTGAACTTCTCCGCAACGAAGAAGAAGTAGAATTGTTGCTGGAAGGATACACGATTATCCGACTCCATCATCCGTCCGTCCCTGATCCCTCTCTCTATTTTAAGACGAGGGCTCGAGGAGACTCGCGCGAATACTCGCGAGAGAGAGCTCGAGGGACTCGGCGGCTCTCGCCGAGTGAGCGAAGCAGCGAACGTCGTCCACGATCGCTTTCATTCAGTTTGCGGAGCGACTCGTCTCGTTATCGTCGTGCGATAAGCGCGCTCACGAAGGAGAGAGTCGCAGCGCGCGCGACTCCGAGAAGATGGGAATATCACTGACTTAGAACGACACAGTTGATCATTGTGCGTCGCGGCTCGTACACGGAATATTCTGCGCCGAGGTACACCCCGAACGGGAATTATCGGCCTCATCGACACCGCGATTACGCGAGCGATTACGCGCTAACGAGACGCGTCCTTCGTCCTTCGTCTGCTCGAAAAATCATTGTGGTCGAGCATTCGTTGTTCCCGTACAATGCGCCTGCACGTAACATCCTCTATCTTGCCGTCGGCCCATCGGCACTCAAGGACCCTCCGGTGTATTGCCGTTTGTTTGACGAGCGAAATTATCGAGTGTCACCGTGTTATCGTGTGTCGACGAGAAAGAGAGAGAGGCGCATAGGCGAGGGACTTAAATGAAGCCACTTGTGCCGAATATCTCAACCCTTTAACATTAATTACCGTCAATTCGCACCGAAGCACCATTCACAGCCGCGCTACTGTGTCTTTCACCGAGTTGGCATTTCCGGACTGTTTGGCAATACGTATCGAGAGTGTATCGCGCGGATTTATCGAAAGGAAAGCGAGTTGTCTATGTCTGTGAGTGAGTGTGTGTGTATATTTGTGCGTTCTAATGGTTGGCAGAATTTCAAACGGCGACACACGCGCGCTGCAGACACGCTCTGCGCGTTATTTTCGCGTATTAGGTACGAATTTGTTTGTGTGTACATGTACATAGGCGTATTTTTATCGCTGATTTAACGCGATAACCATGCAGTATTTTCAAGGAAGGATTCGCTACTGATATATCCATGCCAAAGAGTCACTCACTACACTGCTACTACACACAAAACAATACATATACATTCAAGTAAATATTTGCTTGCTTCAGGTATTTCTCATAACATTATACTGGGTGTCTAATGTTTAATGTTCCATACCTCGTCCATAGATTTGGTCAAACTGAACATGAAATTCCTCTATCATTTAGCCAACAACCACGTAAGATTTGAGTTACTAATCAAAGAAAAATGATTGATCGCGTGTGATGCATCAAATGAGTTCTGACAATGACGACTGTCGTCGTGTGCTTGTAAATTAGATCTGAATAGATTCTTAGTTATTAATTAAAACAATATTAATGCATTATCGCGCGCGATCATTCACTAATCTTCCTTAATTAATAACTTAAACACCCGCATGGTTATATTTAGAAAATGATGGAGGAATTTGGTCTTCAGCTTGACCTAATTTACAAGCACACGATAGATATAGGACTTTAGCGTCAGATAGCCGATACATTCACAAATCTATCACAAGTTCATTAAGAGCATCAAGTTTGTTATACAAAATACATTCTGAATCTGAGTAAGTTTAGTATTTTAATGAAGAATATTAAAACAAAAATTCAGTTTGCTTACTACGTAGAGTCGAATCAACTCTATGATAAAATTTTATAATATTCTTGTAAAGAGAATAAGTTCTTTTGTTTGAGTTACGACAATGAGATGTCCCAAAATTCGTGATGAGTATATTTTAAGACCTATTAAAGTAATATTCTTTCTTGAAGATAACTATTAACTGAAGAGAGAAGTAAAGTAAACTGAGTAATCGCTTTTCTTATCAATGGGATGGTATTTTTCTATGTATTAGCTTCTGTGTATCTATTATTTGTGATATCAAGTGACGAATAATGGTTCGATTGTTCACCAAACTACATTTTTACAAGCGCGCGAGTATATTTCCACAATTCTCTAATTGCCAGTATCTCCAAATCCAGTTGTTTAAAAATATCCCCAGCGGTATTGATTTAGAGCGGCGATACGTTAGCGAAAATAGGACATAATGTGAGAACGCACACAAAAGGAAACTTGACCACAAAAGCACGTCGGGCAAAGGATTTTATTTTGCACCACGTAATCCCACAGTTATTTGTCGCCTCTCTTTTTGCGCGTATTGCAGCGGAAGTGACGCGCGCGTGTGGCTTTTGCGACACCGCGGTAATAATCGGAAACCCAAGTGAGATTCGATAATCGAGATGAAATTAATCTCGCTGGCAAACTATACTTGTTAATTAGCCGTTGTTTGTAGACGATCGTCGTCCTCTTCGTGATTCAAAAAAAGTAGCGCATCGTATCGGAATAGGTTTTTAATTGCGCCATTGCAGCATTTGCGGCCGTTCTGTAATATTACTCGCTGCAGTGTTTAACGCGTCGAAGCGTGGGCCGATGATGTTGCGAGGGAAGCGCACCGTGAAAAGGTGAAAAGCGACGCCATAGAACAAGGATGCAGTTTGTATGTGTATGCGTGTGTGTGTGTGTGTGTGTGCATGCGCGTGTGTGGCCGTTGTGAGTACGCGTTGCGTGTCCGATGCACCGGTACTTGGCGTAAGGAAAGCCGAGCGGTGAACGACCGGTGACACAGATCCGAGTGCGAACGTTAAACAAGCAATAGTCGCCTATGTAGCTCGGTGTCCCATTTTCCTATCAATAACGACAGGCGATAAGAGTCATAATTGCGTGGGGAAATGCGAATGCACAGCAGCTGCCGAAACGTCTGATTAAACGAAAGAATGTTGTGTCGCGCCTGGTTGTCTACACGCACATGATTCCTGGTAGGGCTCTGCAACTTTATTGATCGCACACCGGCTAAGGTGCCCGCACCTCGTATCGGATTCGGGGGAAACGAGTGTAAATGCCGCGTGTATCAAAACTGTGGCCGGCGTGTCGCTATCGTTTTGTCCGGCTCGTCCGAGTTCTTTCAACTTTTTGCTCGATCATTTTCGCCGAATCTACATTCTCTCTCATTGGTGCGTTTCAGTTGCCGGTACTTGAACGAGGCTCGAAGATGGCAGACACGAGCCAACAAGCATTAAGTGAGCCGCATACGAATGGAGTAATGGACGGTTTAACGGAAGAGGAAAAAAGCAAGATGAGACCAGCCGATATCGATGCGGTAAGTCCTTATTCGTTCAATATATTCTTGCAGATACATTAGGCAAACATAAATCTTATTATATTTTTAATAATAGAAATCTGGTGAAGATTGATATTCAATGACGATCTATTCAACATTTAGCAGTTCTTGTGGAAAATATTGAAATATTTGTTACTTCAGATTGCATGCTAAGAGGAAACTCGATTTACATCTCCTGTTCCTTAACCACGCATATTCATTCCCTGTATCTCTATACTTAAATAGCTAATATACTTTTTAAATAGCTAAAATAACTATTAATACTCATTTCCTGAGTTTACTTGTATAATATACCATCTACAATTTACATCACCTTTCTCCTAAAGAAAAATTCCTCTCAAACACATCTCAAATTTAACTCTTACTCTTGTTGTCTCCACAATTCTCATCTTTTTTTACACTACTTTATTCACCTCATCTTGATTTTCCCTTTTACCTCTGAAAATATTGGGAGTGAACAACTCAATAAAACTGCAAGTGTATTGAATAAGAGGATCTGATCCGTAGGATATGAGAGAGATGGAAAGGAGAAAGAGGGTCGAGATGATGATGAATTCACGAATCTTCCGAGAAGAACTGGAACGCATAATCGAGACCCAGATGAAGGACGGTGCTGGACCCTCCGGTCTTTTACAACAGATCTCCGACATGATGGGTGCACAGGGAGCCCGTTTCAACGGCAATGTGTTCAAAAGTTAGTAATTACTTCCGCTTCACTCAATATTACTTCGGAAACATCTTTCTTCTTCATTTTTTACTTGAACAATGCCTCAACGACAACATGTTCAAGTGTTAGCATTTAAAATCACCTCGTTAATATCTCCCTTCTCTTTCTTTGTCTCACAATGTTTTCGAATACATAGATTCAAATTGCGTCTTACCCATCAACGACATCCGCGGCGTAGAAAGCATGGGATACGCCAAGGGCGAGAAATTGCTACGATGCAAATTAGCGGCGGTCTTCAGATTACTCGACTTATATGGATGGACCCAAGGTGTCGGCGGACAAATCACTGCCCGTCTCAATCAGGATCAAGAGCACTTTTTGGTGAATCCTTATGGGTTGCTCTATCATGAAGTTACTGCTTCGAGTTTGATAAAGGTGGACATGCAAGGTGCGGTTGTCGAACAAGGAACGACCAACTTCGGCGTACACGTCACGGGTTTCCAATTGCACTCGACGATACACGCTGCCAGGCCTGATATCAAGTGCATTATTCATATTACTACTCCGTCCGTTACCGCTGTGAGTAAATGTTTTGTCTCTCATTCCTCCATTCTCTGATAATGTCTATCTCATGTGTCGATATCTTTTACAGATGTTTTAGCATCTAATCAGTTTTTTTATACATCTAATCAATTAGATTAATTAATGACATAAAAGTCTTTCTAATAACGATTAAAAATGTTAGAAACCTTTGTGTAATTAATTTACAAGAACCATCTTGTTAGCAATTTTAGCCATCATTATCTTCTGATCTTTCGCTATCAAACTCTTGATTGATAACGTCAGAAGCGAGAAAACACGTGGCCAGAATTCATGCAAAATACATTGAAATAAAAAAGTACGATAAACAGAATAATATCAAATAGCATTTGCATCTTTTGATGCAGTTATTTATTGACTGTTAGAGCAAAAAGAAAAGAACTACTTTACAAATTCGCTCGATCGATTATAAGTGTTATTTTGTGAACATATTATTTTATTTCGATGTATTTTGCAAGAATTTTAAACGTGTATTTCCTCGCTACTGACATCATAAATTAAAATGGCCACGACGAGGAATGATTAATGGTCTCTTTTGGTTTAAGTCAATGGCTAAAATTTATTCGTTTTGCTGGAAAAAGATTGTAATTGCTGACACGTTTCTTTTGTGCGCAGATCTCCTCTTTGAAATGCGGATTGCTACCGATCGGTCAGGAGAGCATAGTAATAGGCGAAGTGAGCAGTCATCAATACATAGGAGGTTCAGTCGAGCCAGAAGAACGTGAAAAGATCGCTCGAAACCTCGGACCGATCAATAAGGTTATGCTCCTGACGAATCGCGGTGCTCTTTGCTGCGGGGAAACAGTGGAAGAGGCATTCTTTAACGTTTACAATACCGTAGTTGCATGCGAGACGCAACTGAAGCTAATGCCCGCGGGTGTTGACAATCTAAACCTTATCAGCGAGGAATCGAAGAAAGCTATATTCGAAGCCTCGAGGAAGCCACCGAGTCCTCAGCAGCAAAGCACAGCGGTGGAGTCCTCCGCCCTCGCTGAAAAACTGGAGAAACGTTGGAGAATTGGTGGCGCTGAATTTGAAGCTCTCATGAGAATGCTTGACAATGCTGTAAGTTTGACCTGCAAGATCGTTTGACCGCCACACCATGACTGTAATATTCATCGAAATATAACGTTTTCGTGTCGTATTTTTTAGGGATTCCGTACAGGCTATATATATAGAAACCCACTTGTAAAGGGAGAGCCACCAAGACCGCGAAACGACGTCGAAGTTCCACCGGCTGTATCATCTTTAGGATACTTGCTCGAAGAAGAAGAATTATACAAGCAAGGGTAAGTTTCTGTTGTCTTTTTCGATTCGCTCGTATTTTGTTTTAACACCACCAAAGTAGTTAACGTCGCACGCTCAGCCAATTTCTTTCCTTTTTTTCGAGCAGGCTGTGGAAGGGCGGACGTAAAGGCACTGACCGATCCCGTTGGTTAAATTCGCCAAATGTTTACCAAAAGGTCGAGATCCTGGAAACTGGAACACCCGATCCTAAAAAGATCACCAAGGTAGAAGTCATTACTTTTGAGAATAAGAACGACTAATTATCTACTCATTCCGCGCAACTTTGCGCTACAATCTACATACATATAAGCAAGCCTATTTAATATATTTCTTATTTGACATTTAATTGTAATCGCGTATTGTGGCTGCTAGTCGGACTACGAATTGCGTAATCATGATGGCGGAAGGCTTTATGCAAATTAAATGTTTATTTGGATTATATATTCGCGATGTCGATATTGCTTATCAGACATAGTAAATTGATCTTGATCTTGACCTTAAAACGGTATATGTAACGGTATGTGATATGCAAATCGAAACATTTGCATTTAAAAAAGTTTAGTTGAACTCACGATATGTATCATTTAATGTTACTACAATGTACGCTCAGTATAACTGCATATGTATTTATATGTATTTATATGAGTATTGAGACTTTCATATGAATTAACTGACAAAATTCCTTTCTTTTATTTTTTAATTTCTTTTTTTTTTTTTATTTTTATCTATCACTCGGCAGTGAACAGTTTTATTTTACCAAAAACGGTGCTGATGTATTTCTAACGATGATTAGAATGACGACGCATATCTATATGGCCGTAAATAGATAGTATATTCTCGTACGCTATGCGACACACATATTACTTGGCACTGGTTATCTCGTTTTCAAGCAATAGACAGTTGCAACCTTATCACGCTAATTACGTAATCTGACCTGCTTTTATCACGTTTCAAATCAGCTTGATTTTATTAACGGATATACAAGCAGACACGTACATACATCGTGCTGGTTAATCACGATTGCGTACACGAATTCGGTGCATTCCACAACTCGTGCCATTAGCTCCGAATTAATTGCTGACACATGAGAAATGATATTTTATATTACATATGTTTTAATCAGAGCAGTCATCTCACACTGAGTAAACAACGTATTAGATATTAACGTTAGTTATAATATATTGACATATATTTCGCACTATAGCGATATAGACTCTTTTGAAGCTGCTGATATTTCGTACTAGGCGTAATTCTTGTTACCACAGAGCTTGATCGATATTACTCGACAAATGCTTACTCTAATGCATATACTATATAATGTAAGGATCAATAGAAAGTTGCAAAAAACGAAAGAAAAATTACGACGCTTTAAACTGTGTGTGTTATGACCAATATATGTATACATGTGTGCATGCGCGCGTATGTGATTTATATATATACATGTATATGGACATTGGTCAGTTCTTGACATTATATTAACGAAAGGAAAGTAACCCATAAGAAAAGCAATTTCTATCGCACAAATTCTCATTGACACATGTGCGCTAAATGAATATTCCGCGTTGTGAAATGTATTGACCAAAGCGTGCTATTGTCGGTGATTCCTCAACCAGTATATCAAAATAATAACGAATAAGACACGTTAAAATTTTACAGAATAACGAATAATATCAAATCTTGCACTTTAATCTGTTGGCAATTGAAAAGTATTTTATGGGCTGGCAATGCAACACCTGAACTTTCTTCGTTGTACATCTGTTTCTATTTCAACGAAGTTTCTGACTGAAGAAATCATTCATTACTCATGAAACGGTAGAGGAACGCTTAATAAATGCTTAGCAAGTGGAAAGATAATCTCGTTAGAGATGAGACTAACAAAAGTGCAGAACGAAGGTGGTTAAGACATTTCCATAAGTACACCAGACATTATCGTGTTGAATTCCAGTCAATCGTTAGTACGTACGTTTACATATAAGATATTAACGACTGTTCTTCTGTAGCCTCTTGATGTTTAAATAAAGTTATACGTACTGTTTAAAAAGGATGATTATTAACTTCAATGAAACTTTTTAATGGCGTCTCAAATATATACTATTCACAGTGTAGAGATACACTGCTATGCTGATGAATTTTGTGCTTTTCATAATATATTGTGGAGTTGTGTGTATGTTGTCGTCTATAATATATCTATTGACGTTAATAACACGAGATTTTGTCCATCTATCCTATTCGCACACAGACTTAACTTTCATCAAAGTAATATCAATGTACAATTTTGATAAAGCTAATACGATAGGATGTTGGTTGAAATTTCAATAGCATGTATAAGGTGAAAGTATATAATATAATATTTAAAATATTACACATAATTTTAATTAATTTTAATTAATGGATGTTCATTTTCTATGCCACTTTTGCCACAATATATATATATATATATATATATATATATATATATATATATATATATATATATATATAT